GTCAATAAATCCTAGGCTTTGCATAGTTAATTTTTAAAATACGTGTTACAGTTTAGTTTATAATATGTTTAAATAGAGTTCAAATATTTTAGTAATTATTATTATTACTTAATAGCTCCCATAATTTTAAGAAAAATAAATAAATATATTTATATGTATTTTTAATGCAGTAAGGCTATTAGAAGAGAGAGTGGGTTAAATGCTATAAGTCCCAATCATCTGAAATGCTTCTACGAATTGTATCTGTAGCTTCCAAAATGCTTACATAATTATATGATAATATGAATATATGCTGATGTAAAACAATTATCTACTCAATATATAAAATATAGTAGTATTGTTCCTTTTTCTGGCTCTGAGGAGTAATAGATTTTGATAAATGAGGTATCAAATGGAAGGGGAGTTTCGTGGAGAATTCATAAATGCCATTTTCAAAACTTTTAAACCTCATTACTAAAATCTAAAATACATGAGAAAAATTGGGACGTTTTGAAACTCAGATGGTTTCATAAAGTTGAGAGTGTAAATTGTGTTTTAAAGATGTTGATGCGAACATAGTAGAGTTCAAATAGAGCCTGCATTTAAAACCTCTCAGTTGCTATGGGATAACTATGACATGTTAAAAATATGTAGCTGTTCGTCTGATTAAAAATCTACTGAAAAAGTAAATAGAGAGGATCATTTTCTATGATCCAATGGATATTACAGATTATAAAAAAATAAACTTTTGAATATTTCTAATAAATAAAAAAATATCCCGTTATATGTAGGATTCTATATTCTCAGTGATAGATTTAATACTCTTCGTAAGTAAGAGAACTACACATCAATACATATGCTCTCCTGCAATGAACAAATAGGTTTTTTTATTTTTTAAACCAATTGTGCATTAGTGACTTGCTTGATAATATTATATTATATACCAATAAACATATTTTGGTAAGTCCCATAAATTAGGAAGATGGATAACATAGGTCCCTGTGAGAGTTACATACTGAGCTATACTAGTTACATTATAATGTAAGTATTTAATGTAATAAAAGTGGACATTTTTGTATAAGCTAACTGATATAAACATGAATGCAAAAATAAAATAAATTGAGTTTTGTAACTTTTTCAAGTGAAATTCATAATTTTTAAACCAATTTTATACACTTAATTTAATGAGGTATCGTTATCAAGAAATTGTGTGAAATTCGATTGAGAAAATTAGAGAATTTCCTTTAATTATTTTTCTATATAGAATATCACAGTCTCAGTTATTTGCCGATATTCTTATGGCGCACCTTAGTTGTCAAACATGAGAGGCGATAGTTCTTCTTCGCAGGAACCTGAGAACAGAGGAAGACATACGATTCCGGAATTCGATTGTGAGTCTTCATCTGCATCTTCACAAGGTTCAATGGGCAGTAGGCAACAAGCTATGAGGAAGAGGTAAATATTCTGTTAATTCACTATCACAAAAACAGTTATTCGTTGGATTAGTTGAACGAGAAGATCACGCAATGGAGGATGCTGCAACAAAATCTGGTCTCAAAGTTCAAATAGCGTACTCTGTTTATAAAAAATACAAATCAAATGACTATAAAGTTGTTGATAGAAAAAAGTTTACACCTTACAAGAAATAATTGAGGCAGTCATGTTGTGCAATGAAGAAAAATAAATAAACAGAAAGAATTCTCTAATCCCCCTTCAGATAGCACATGAAGTCACGATAACGATACCTCATATATGAAATTGGTTGCAAAAATTATGGATTCGTTAAAAAAAAAAACTATGAATTTCACTAAAAAAAAAAGCTTTAGGTTATTCTATTCAATCATGATTTTTTTTGTAAGCAGATGGAATTATCTTCCATACGTGTGTGTCTTTACCGTTGGAGAGATGGTAGAATTGGCAATATTTGTTTCTCACCATACTCTGTCCACTAGACTTCCCAAATCTCGACTACAATAGTTAATGAACATATTGCATGATTATAATATTGTAGGATTATTGTTTGGTACACTGGAATGATAAATAATTAATTTTAAGTAAAGCATATATATGGGAAATAAATTCTGTAAGGAAAAAGAAATTAGCTCTTAAATTAACAATAATCATACTATGGGAAGAAGAAATTCAGAATTATGCATTAAATAAATTATCCTTATAAATATTCAAGATACATATTTAAGGATAAATAAAAATGTAACCTGATACAGTAAACATTACATGAAAGGTCCTAAAATATTTATTCTCCTAGCAAACAGCAATTTAGGGATTTTTTTTTCTATTCTTTTTTTTTTTTTTTTAAAGATTCTATCATCCATTATCTTTAACCAACAAGAAATAATTTGAGCTAAAAATAAAAGAATAATACATTGAGGTGAGGTCTTTTATTTATAGTCGAGGTTTCTCTTCGATTAAATTAGGCTTCGACTTCAAAGGTGATGATTACTTACCAGGTTGCGCCGAAGATGAATAAAAACCTCTTCATAATGTGCTTCGAATAAAATATAATCTTAAGAGAATTTTCCAGTACTATATTAGATAATTAATGCTTTAATATAAAATATGAAAAAAAAATGCATTAAGTCTTCTCTTAGGACTGGATTAATACATAACTAAAAAAAAATAAAATAAAATAATTGTTTTACCTTACCTGGCTTTGAATAAAATTTGATAAATAAAATATTAAAAAAAAAAAAAAAAATGATAATCTATTATCTACTTGATCTTATCAAGAGCTTTAATGTTAAGTTCATTGTATGCGAAATTTGATCATATCTCACCCAACAGACAGTGGTTCTTGCAGTTTGACGAAACGAGGCCATGGTCCTGGAATAATCTTCGGACAGTGGACAGTAAACTCTGGCTAAAAGTGGCAATCCAGGTGTGGTACACATTTGGGAAAAATTATAGGGTGGGGGGAATGTAACCACAGATATAATTTGAAACATACCATGGGAAGTTTAAAAAACAACAGAGCACAATATAAAATACAATTAAAATATTTCGGAGAGGGGGATAACTTAAGGCAGAGTATCGGCCTCAAGCCACCGCCATCCACTCTGAAAACTAACATATAATTTCATTAGTAAAATTTAATATATATAGATTCAATATTTGCTGGCATTCAATGAATCTCTACCCAACTGTGATTTGTTCATAAAACAAACAAACAATATTAATACAAGTCATGAAAGAAAATGGTTCTATTGAATGCCACAACCTTCAAAAAAGAAAAGAAATAAATTATTCTTAATAAAGTTTAAAATTCGTTAAAGAAATAACATGGCATACTTCTTTTCTTTTTTTTCTTTAATAAAATGGCATTCATAAAATTAAATAAACTACTGAAATACTTGTTCAAAAAAAATAAATAAATATATGTATATATATATATATATATATATATATATATATATATATATATATTGTTTTTTGGTTTGCACTATAGACCAATGAGGGGGTCACCCAGTTTTGCTAAAAACTATGATTTCCATGGTGCGGCAGCAGACTACCCATACCTCCATGGTTCTATTACACGGTTAGGAAGCGTTTTTGAATGAACCCGCAAAAGGTCCAGAAACTCAAAGAGTTTCATTAGGTTGCGTAACCAACATATTGGAAATTTCTGACCTAACAAAAAAATCTTTTATTGAAAAAACATATCATTCTTCACAACAAGACTATGTTTTAGAATCAATTGAAGTAATAAGAGACAGAACATTTATGTACAACATTATATGGCTTTTGCAACCTTTTTTTGTTACATTTGGGGTTTCTTATTACTTATTTAAATATTTCTCGTTATTATTAAGGGGACATCTCATATATTTACACCTTAATTTAAAACATTTAGATTATAATAACTTGAAATATATTTATCGTGAAATTTAAAAATCCTTAAAAATTAATTGAAGACTGAAGTAATTCATTTTTTATTTCTTAATGAAGAATATTTTTTTTTACAGACAGCCCAGAAAACCTAATTTTGTAAACTTTTTTTAAAAATTAATATTTAATATTTTTTTTCCTTCATGAAACAACACTTAATTTCAAGTTACTAAATTACATTACTAGGGGAGAGAAGAGAGGGGATGCTCCCCATCCACCTAACGGCGGACCAACCCGCATTTTAGAAATTACACAACTGTTCATTTAATCACATATCGTTTAAGCTCCTGTAACCTCCTATTCTCCTAATACGAAATAAAGATTTTAGACCTAAATTTTGTACGGGAAATGATAGTTTGAATAATCGCCATAGGAAAGCAGAACTAACGAGCCTAGAGGAATGGGCTGAAAAATTGTAAACTTTTACTCTCTTAATACTAATTAGAGATTTTCAACCTGGTGTGTTCGTAACAGTTTGTCCTGCTTTATATATAGTTATTAGTAACTCATATTTTCTTGTATATATATATAAATATAATAAAATATGAGTTACTAAAACCTTTTTATATACCAGAAAGAAATATCTGGTATTTCACTCATAAGACTTTTCCTCGAATACAAACAACCACTATAAATTTGTTAATTAAAAGAAAAAAAAGTAATTTAAAATCAGTTCTTAAGGATTCAATAAGCTGTAATTTTGCTAATACTAGTCCCAAGTAAGAGATTTTTTTTTAGTTTAGTAGGAAATTTAAAATTTCTCAAAAAATGGATCAAAAATGTAAATATCCCTTTAAAATCTAATCTGATTAGAATACTTTTCTTACCTAATAAGAAAGAACAATAAGTCCTTGCTAATTTTGTATTCACCATTTTTAATTAATTAGACATTACCGCCTATATTTATTCATGGCAACAAATAAAGAAATTTATTATTTTTGAACAAGTATTTCTTATATAAAATTAATGCTACCTTATCAATAATGAATTAATAATCTCAGTATTAGTATTAAAATGAGAAATTAAATACTAAAATGTTATAGTTAACGCTCAAGAAGTCGCTAAACAAATTTTAATTACGGTCCATGCAAGTGATTTAATAATAAAAAATAGCTTACTCTTAGGTTTCGGAGGAGTGATAGGAGGAGCTGGTTTTTCAGTCTTATCCTCTTCTTTGATCTTTTTTTCTGCAACATGAGGTACTTCTTTTACAGGAGAAGGCCTCTTGAGAGGTTTTTTCTCCGGAACTTCTTCTTTCTTCTTAGAACTTTTCGGCGGAGGAGGTAATTCTTCAAGCCCAGTAGACCGAAATCTAGAATTGAAAGTTTTAACGGTTTTAGGTCTTTCCTCTCCCCCCTTTCGAGTTTCAATAGAAATATTATACTTTTTCGGGTCTTTGGGGAAAGGTTTCTTAGGTTCTACAGGAACAGCAGCTTTCTTATCATCTTTCGATTTTTTCGGAATCTTGCCCAAGTTTCCGATAGAAGGGGTAATAAGTTTCATTATGTCAATTTTATCCTTTTCATCTTGAGCCTTTTCTTCTTGAGTTTTTTCTTTGACATGTTTTTCGGAACTTGTTTTTTCCGCTACTTTTCTATCTTTACTTTTAACCTTTGTATCTAATTTCGCCTTCTTCTCTGGTGAAACCTTCTTCTTCTCTTTAGAAACTGTTTTCTTCTCAGGTTCTGGAGAGGTCTTTTTATCATTTTTCCTTTTCAAAGAGGTCTTCTTACCTTCTGCCAACTTCTTGGGCGGTAAAGATTCCTTAGCAACGGGGTCCTCATTGACTAACTTCAACACTGGCCTAGTCTCAGCCGATGATTTGCTGCTATCATCATTAACCTCTTCGGAACCCTCGACTCCTTCTTCTACTCTAGTCCCGGATCTTTCGGAAGTGATAACTTCGGCTAAGACATTTTTACCATCTCTGATTGTGATCTTATAAAGACCGCGTGGAGAAATCTCTTCCGGAGCAGCTTCGCCATTTTCTATCACCGGTGACTTATTACCTTCGACAGATCCACCGGCAGCGGATGGGGTTCCTGTTGCTTCGCAAGCTCCTTTGACTATAGCCAACCATTTGTCAACTACATTGCATGCTAAATTGCGCACTCCTATAACAAAAATGTTTTAATTAATGACACTATAAAACTAAATTGATGAAAAAAAAATAAAGATAAATTTAATGAAAATATTTCAACATGAAGAAACCCACGGAATCGAGCTACTAATTTTGATTTAAAAAAAAAAAAAAAACATCTTTGCCCATAACTTTTTAAAATAAAATGGTGAATTATTGAATTGATTTACCATTTTACATTTTATACGTGAAAAATTGTTTTCCATAAGTGCCTCGAAATTAAACAAAACTGACACAGTAAAACATAATTTTATATTATTTTTTCTTCGGATTGAATAAATATATTTTCACTTCCATAAAGACTAATTTCTTATATACTTACAAGTGTTTTTAGATTTTATTTCCTTAAATACTTGATGTATAGGAAGTACAATAATATGTCTAAATAGATATTTAGACCTAATGAATTTATTTATTTATGACAAAAAGTTGTCTTTAAAAACTGTGTTCTGTATATGTTTTTTATTTAAAGATAACAAATCTCTTCCCTCCACATATTTGACTATTTGAATAGAGCTTCCCCTTTAATAGGATATACCACAATTATGTACTAAGAAAAGACAATGAATCAAGAAACTTTGAACACCTAAAAAATCAGAGGAAATAGAATTTAAATATTCACAGAGGAGGATAACTTGATTTTATTGTTATTAAATTAGTTTTTTATAACGGCAAAGAATGAGAATTTTATCATAACATACTCCAAATGATTAGATTGTCTAATAATAATAAATCATATTTTGGATAGAGTTTCCTTCATCACCACTTTTTGTTATTATAACTTAAGTTATCTGAAATAATACATTTAAATGTAATACTTACTCTCAGTAGCACTGGGATCTTTCGACAAAACTTTAATAAGTTTCGGACAGTTGTTTCCCTTAAGACGTTCAATATCTACTGGGCATAATAATAACAGCTCGACTAATTCGGCTACCAGCGGCCAGTTTCTGCACTGAATGCCGTCGGATAACCAATTAAATGTCAAATCCCAACCCCCAGCTGACATAAACCTATAAAACCAAAATAAAATTTCAATATCAACAATTACACAATGCAATAATATTAATATAATTATTAATTTTCATATGGTATATATTTAACTCACATGTCTAATAGATCAGATTCAGTAGATTTCAAGATAAGAACATATATACATTTGCTGACCAGTTTCTTGGAAAATTTAGTCATCAAGCTGAAAAAAAAAAATTTAATTGTTAAAAAATAATAATAATAGGGACATGTTAATAGTATCCCGACCAACTATCAAAGAAACTTAAATAAAAACAGTTCACTGAAAGTCCATTCAAGTAAATTTTATAACTATTATATAGTGTGATTATTTTTTTATAGAAACATATAACACATTTAGAATTAATGAAGAGAAGAATAGTTGGGGTGTTCAGTCAAAAAGGAAGGCAAAAATAAATTATAATATTTATTTTTTACATATGCCGACGTTTCGACCTGAAGTTCAGGCCTTCATCAGGGCTAAGAAAATAACCAGATAACAAAGGCATTTAGAATTAAAGAGTGCCTATTTACTTTAAAATATATGTAGGTTACTAAAGTTTTAATTAACTAAATATAAAATCCATGTGTCATTGAAGGATATTAAAAACGTTGATAGAAATACTTTCTTTCATACAGTCAGATATCTTCGCCATCTATTTGTTAGGTAATGTAGTTTATATGTTACCGAAAACACTAAAACTAACTATTTCGATGAAAAATTTATTCAATTTTTATTTCATTATTCCTTTAAACCATCAATTATTTCGAAGAGCCAGTTAGCCAGGTTTCTGTAGTTAGACAAGTAAAGGTATTATTTTTTTGTATTGCAAAAGATAAGAAAATTTTTTGATTGACCACCTCATAAAATTAAAGTTGTAGACTTCTAACACAGCATTTATAATCAGCCATTTTTAAATAATGCAAAGCCAGGTTATGTTTCAACTAGAATTATTTGAGCTTAAAATTTGCTTAACTACCCATGATAAATACAGCCCTTATTAATTCAATTTGATTGAAAGATTTGAGAAAAATCCTCCGCACGATAACCAGAGCGATCTGCGATCAGAGTACTAACACATGGTGAAGAAAGACCAACAATGAACTGCTTATAGAAACTAGTCAATTAATATCATATTATATAAAGACACGAAGGATAAGATGGGCGGGGTATGTAGCTCCTAGCAATCCATCTGGAAGCCTCTACGTAACTATGAATGCCTCAATAGAAGGCAAAATACCACGTGAGGCAAAAAGCAGATGGACAAATAGAATCGACTAAGATGTAATAGAGCTGAGTGCAAATAACTGGAAAGAAATAGCCCAAGACAGGTAAAGATGGAACAGGCTTGTTAAGGCGGCAAAAGATCTACAAGGTCTGTATTACAAAAAAAAAAAAGTGCAGAAGAAGCAACAACATATATTTGGCCATAGACGAAGTTGTCACAACATGTACATATAGAACTTATCTGAGAATTCAAATGTGAATGCGGAATGTGAAAAAGTATTCATTGTCTAACTTCAGCGCCATTAGTAAAGAATAAGCTGGATAAAGAAGCATTGCTGTAGGCGTTGATGACCTGGGGTTTTTTATGCCTATAAACAACAACAAACAAACAAACAAGAAGCATTGCTGTCCATGATTTTCATTTCACAGCAAAAAAGCTTGTATCAATAAATGCAGCTGTATCAAGCAGAATATTGCAGTATATCGTAAGCTGAGGGGACAATGCATCTGTGCGCAAATAATAATAAAGAGGACAGAGGTGCCCAGAAGGGGGTTTCATGGCACAAGTTGCGGCATTAACATACTTTTTAGGAGGGCACATTTCGACTAGTTATGATTTTTGGAATAAAAAATTTGAAACCAGGGAACAATGAGAAAACACGTAACATACCTCTGTAATTTTATCTGATCTAAGATTTTTTAAATTCTACTTTGGCTTGCACTGTTTTTAAGAAGAAGTAAGCAATAAAATATCTTGGGAAAGGGGGTATTCTTGCGCCATTGACATGGGGATGGGGATGGGTGGGTACCCAGAAAGAGGCTATAAAGTTATGTTTTTTTTATATTTTTAAACTATGTAATAACAACAAAAAATGCATTAAATTACGATTTGATACAATCATGCTATGGTTGGATGATGGTAAATATATAAAACAAGGTCAATGCATCTAATCCTAACAAGTTTGAATCAGTTTCTGTCTAGATCAAGATACCAGATTAAATAGAATTTTCTAAAAAATGCACGTATTCATAGTTTTGTTTTCTCATTATATGAGCTTTTCAGTTGACAAAATAACTATTTGACAAAATAACTAACTCCATTTCAACATTTTTGATTATTAAGCTTAGTGATATTTCTAGTGGAAAAATGTATACCTTTATTCACACTTCTATATTTCAACACTGCAATGAACTACTCTGGATCAAAACATTCTCACTGTCTGTACAGATATAAATTTTCCAACTAGAAATATCACTAAAAATGACTTTACTGAAAAATGTTGAAATTTGAGTTAGTCATTCCATCAACTGAAAGGTTCAGTTGACAGTTTAGTTCAGTTTCACGTATCAGATGTATAAAGGTGAAATCTGAATTAGTCCATAGATGGCTCTAGTTGTTAATGAAGTTACTGTTGAACAGCATTATTGGCACCATTTTGTTTCTTCAACAACTCGCAAAGATTTTAAACTAACAAAAATACAAGTTTCATATGTAGTGTGTAGAACATGTGTTTTGAACCTACAAACTACAATTTGCAGACAGTATTAGTTTAAAAAAAAAAAAAATGCTGCAGAATCACATCTAATGCTAGTCGAAACTTATGGTAACCATGCTCTTAGTAAATCGCACTGCTTAGGGCGGCGGTTTAAAAAATTCAATTCAATTCAGTCAATAACCATTGAAAAAAACTGAAGACAGCGAATCGCAAATATTGTTAAATGAAGACGATACTTAAAACCAACACCAACTTGCAGATCAATATTGAAAAATGAATATTGTAAAATGAATATAACTGTTTTCAAACGTTTGAAAACCACAGGAAGAAGCCAGAATATGGGGAAACGACCATGAGTAACTACTGGTGGATTATCAACATCAATTGCAACGCCAAGTCGCTAAGAGGATAATGCTCTGTGCCTATTATGATCAGAAGTTTGTTATCTATTATGAGCAGCTAAAATTTGGCAAAACGGTTAATGCTGAATGCTATCGACAACAAATAAACAATTACGTGAAAATGCAGCAGAACATCAAAAAGACAAAACTAAGTGATTTTACTTCATGATAATGCACTATCACATACAGCAAAACCAGTGAAAGAAACAACTGAGGCATTCAGTTGAGTAATATTATACTAATATAATATAATACTAATCACACTAGGCTCTGTCAGACTGTTTATTCGCATCGATGGGGCCTGTACTTTCCCAACAGTGGTGCATTACTTTCAATGGAAATGTACGAAAAGAGCTTGATGACTGGTTCACCACAAAAGAACAACAGTTTTTCTAACATGGCGTTCATAAATTACTAGAGAGATGGGAAACACGTATATCTAAGAAAGAATAATATTTCAAATAAAATATTATTCAACATTTTTATGCAAGAAATATATATTTTCTATATGAAAATTATGGTTCCATGTTTACACAACCGTTAAATTCAGAACAGACAAGGTTTGAAACTATGAACTGAAACAGAGTTAATAAAAAAAAAAAAAAACCTATGAACTAAAACAGGAATTTCGCTCAGAATTTCATTATTGTACAGAGCTTAAAAAACCTGAAATTATTCTTTATCATGTAAAAATTAAATTTATAAGTGTAAAATTCTAAATAGGAGCATAAAATAAAAAAATGATCCGGATCTAATGAAAACAAGAATAATATTTTTAGAACCACCGAAAAAAAAAAACCCCAACAAAAAACAGTAATATTCTTACAATAAAACGTATACAATTATTGTTTTATTTTTTAATATGCTTCTGTTACCTAAATTGTCGGTCTTTGCCGAAACTTTTTTTTATTGTAGCCCGGCCTAACTCTTTTAATTATTTTTATATTTAATAGCCTGCTAGATTAAAATAAAATAATGTAGTTCAGTAAAATGTGATAAGTTGTTTTATAATTCTGATTGAAATAATAATAAAATGAAATATGACTCCATACTAATACAAAATAGTTATAATGATAGAAAAGACGTTTAGAGACTAAAAGAAAAGATACTCCGATATAACAAACTCTGTATTTCATTATTTAAATTCAAAATTATGGTTTTTGTGGTTTGTTAGATTTTAGAGATGATTTTACTAAACCTTATCGATAATTTCCAAAATCTTTAAGTTAAAATATTTTAGGACTAAGGGATCTATGGAGAACTCTACATGGCCATTTAGTGCTTAAGCTGCCCGAGACTAGAGAAAGCCATTATAGAACATACATTTTTTGGGAGTTTACTCAAAATCATTTCTTTCGGTATAACTCTATTTAATATTCTAAGCTTGTCTTTATAAAGGTATGTAATGATTTTTGGGTGAATGTTTAGTTTGAATCCCCAAATCAATCAGAAATTTCAACCAGAAACTTCGGACCCTGTGAATGTTTTAATTGGATTCATTTTATATCACGTTAAGTTTGTGGCCATATGTAATGTAAACAAATTTCTGATATTTCCATACTATAAATCTAATGAGAAGAAAGGTACTGCAAGTTTGTTATTGAACTTGACATTTATTTATTTATTGTTATTTCACATTATTAATCTCTATTGATTTTTTCACTTCTATTGTGTGGTCTAAAGCACACACCTTAGTTTATTATTATTTTTTTTTAAATTAAATTATTTCTCTTCTCATGTTGTTTTTTTTTTTCCTGTATGTTATACCTAGTTTATTTTTATTTTATTTTTTTTAACACAGGAGAAAACGACCACAAAACCAAGAGTCAATAAATTCTAATTTCAAATAAGAGATAGAAGGAAAAGATTCAACAAACTTTTTTTTCTTTTTTTTTTTTAAATAAATCGAACGATCTTGGTGGTCAACATGTATTAAAATTATGGATTTAAGTAAAGTTTTTCTGTAAAAAAATGGGAGCGTAAGGAAGATAAATTTGTTGGGTAGCTGTTAAGTCCATTTTGCCATAATTGTGATGTTTGTTCCCATATACCAAATAGG